TCTATCTATCTATCTATCTATCTATCTATCTATCTATCTATCTATCTGTCGAGAGGATATTGTTAAGTTGCTTAGGGTGGCCTTTAACTTACGTTGTAGGCCAGGAATGTCTTTATACATCCCGCTTCAGCTCCAGGAGTACCTGGTGTTACAGGCGCCTTTACCACTAGGGCCAGCGTAGCAGTTGCTTATTGAATGAAGCAGAAGTGTGCAAAGAAGATAGGAAAACAGCTAAGTAGAGCAACAAAACCCCAGCCCTCCTGGAGTTTGCAATTTGTTTCTTACTCTTTATTGTGCTGGATTTTCTTTTGATAGAGGAATGCTCTTTGGGATCTACAGCTCACTGCAATCATCTTTGAACTACCTAAAGTATATATCTCATCATACCAGTTTGGATCCAAATAAAATGCTCCTGAATTTGTGAAAACATTCTTTATTTCTACTACAGATATAGCGCCTCCCTGAGTCCTCCAAGCCTGTGTCTGATACATCACTTGACACACTGTTACTAAGACTAACAAAACATTTTATTACAATACGTAGCTACATTACCTCAACAACAATACTTAACCAATATAGTAAATGTGTTTTTGCTTCCCTCCAAAGTATAACTCTCAAGGACAGGGTCTCTGAGTCCAGCTTGTCTTTGTCGGCCGTCAATACCGAGTACAGAGTTTGGCCTGTGTTAATTGTTAATTGAACAAATGAATGAAGAGTTGCCGGGCACCATTATATTTGGCAAAGTTAAAAGGAAGAAGAAAATAGTGCTAGTTACAGGTTGAATTGTGTCTCTTTCAAATTCTTGCAACATCCCCTAACCTGTGAAAATGACTATGTTTGGAAACAAGGTATTTAAGTACAGCCTATTCAAGATGAGGTCATCTTTAAGGTGTACTCTAATCCAACATGATCAGTGTCCTCAAATAGAGGATAAATTTGAACACAGAGACAGACATGCATATAGAGAGAATGCCATGCGAAGATTGAAATTATGGTTGGCCACAAACCAAGGGATGAACAGGAACCAGCAAAGCCCTGGAACAGATCCTTCCTTACTGACTACAGAGACCACATGACCCTCCCAATGCCTGCTTTTGAACTCTGACCTCTGAAAGTGACACAATAAATTCCCATAGCTGTAAGCTACCTAGCGTGCAGTACTTTATAATGGCAGCTTTAACAAATGATACTAGGAAACTAACTTAAGTACTTTAGGGAGCCAATGTCTAAATTTCTTCTCTACCTCTGCTTCTGTTGCCACAGTAGTTGGGCTTCATTTTTTTTGGTTTCTGCAGAAGATTTGAAACTCCGTACATGAAAACCATAGAGAAGTAAGCATATTGTTCATTTCTGCAAAAAGGCATAAACTTTTTGTGGTCACTGCTGGGGATCTTCCAAGTCTCTCATCGCCCATGCAGAAGACCTGATAACAGAGCTGTGCCTTCTTCATTGGCACAGTGTTGTGTCCTAGGACCTATTTTTGTACCTTTAAAAGATACAGTGTTTTGTGTTTGGCTTTGAACAATTTGAAAGGAAGCAGATTTTATCTAAAGACATAAAAGCTGTGTTCAAGAATCCAAATGAAATGGTGGGAAGTGAAGAGAAAATTGATCCATGAAGAGTTGACTTCTGTTTATGGATTGTTCATTCAGTAAAGATGATTTTTTTAACAGACAGTGTGTGGGTGTTTGTGTAACTTTAGCATTGAAGTATTAATCTGTTATAAAAGTGTATCAGCAGTGCATTCCTCAAATACAAAAGCGTTTTAATGGCACATCAACCATGACTTTTATTATATTTGGATTGGGCAATGGAGATTGTCATTTAATAACAACCATGACTTATCGAGCAAGTAGTATATTCTATATACAGTATATTAGCAATCTTGTGATAATTTTTTTCTCTGTAGCAATTTTGTGGGTATTAGGGCTTATGCTGTGGCATCATGGAGAAGGTAATTTTTAACTTCTTCACACTGAAAACCAGTTCTAGGTCTTGGAGTGAATTTTAGGTACAGGCAATTAGTCAAGAACTGACTGTGGTTTTATGCAGCTGGGAGGCTGAGTCAGAAAGATCAGTCTGAGTTCAGGACTAGCCAAGGCTACTTAGTGAGGCCCTGTTTCAAATGAAACAAAATCACACACACACACACACACACACACACACACAGAGAGAGAGAGAGAGAGAGAGAGAGAGAGAGAGAGAGAGAGAGAGAGAGAGAACAGGATTTTGGTCAAATTCTTGTTGGGTTCAGCATGACAGTAGCAGAAAGAAAACAGGACCAAGAGGAAGAGACTGCCTCAGTCTCTTGCCATTAACTTCTCCAGGACTGCTATGATTTGGGTGTGGTTTGTACATTGAGGGCACATGTGTGAGAAGCTTGGTCTTCAGTGTGGTGTTGTAAAATGCTAACCTATCTCTCCAGCCCTGCATTAAACTCTTCGAGAGACTCTGCTAATACATTTAACACTGAGTTTACTTCACACATCAGTTATTAATTATTGCACCTCAGTTCCAAATTCACATTTCATTGCCTCTCGATAGAACAAAACCCAATAAGGACATCTCTTTTGCCTCTGGCATTATGTTACGAATTGCCAGTAGAATGCAGGATGGAAAGTTGAGACACCATCTCTTCTGAGATCTGCATGCTGTTGTTTTCTTTTTTTATGACCCCTACTCTGCGGTTGACAGCAGTCCTTGGAGAGTGGACATGAAATGAGCCAGGTTTTTTTTAAAATCAGGTTTCAGTAGCAGCCTGGTTGGTGGTTTTCCACTGAATCTCGCAGACAAACTGACATTGGTTATCCTGTCTCAGCCACAGTGCATTTTGGGAAAGCATTTCTTGTGACCACTTCCAGCAATGACTTTCTGCCTACCAGCCTCTGAGTGAGTTCTGTCTAATTTCCTTTTCCAGTGTCTATTGTGGCCACACATGGGGGTGACATTCATCCGGGTCCAGCCATTATGGTTTGTACGTTCCAGGGTAGGGGTGTGTGGGTTAGAAATGTTAGGTAGAATAAAGAGATATACAAAATACAGAGACATTAGGACAGTACCAGGAAATCAACCCAGTAAATACTGAATCTGTCCACGTTTATTTTTTTGTGATCTTTAAATACCCCAATCCATAAAAGGGGAAGGAAGCAAGAACTTCTTTTTATCGTGATACAAGGAACAAAATATTTACCATCTAAATACCAAAACACCAAGTAACCACCCTAGGTCAAGATATCTTTGCTAATAGCCACACCTTAAGTCAAATTTGTCAATAACCAGAAGGCACAAGAATAGGTTTAAACTCTCTGACCTTTAGTCAAGGAGGAATGGATCCACTTCCGTGGGCTTCCACGAGTGTCTGTAGCCACACCTTCTCTAGTGAGGTGTAAATCCTACCCTTGGGGAAGATCCCTGGCTTCACTAAATGTGTCCTTAGTACTCAGGCACAGGTTTGGGTGTTCTTTGGGGTTCTACATGTCTTAGTCAATTGCTTATTATAGCTCATAGTTTCTCTTACTAAATATTGTTGGAGGAGGGTGCCGCTTGTTGGTTCCTGGCCGCTTAGCCCCAAAATAATCACACAGAAACTATATTAATTAAATCACTGCTTGGCTCATTAGCTCGAGCTTCTTATTGGCTCTTACATATTAATTTAACCCATTTCTATTAATCTGTATATCACCACAAGGTCGTGGCCTACCAGCAAAGTTCCAGCACATCAATCTCCCTCGGCCTGTGGCGGCTCCATGGCATCTCTCTGACTCGGCCCTTCTTTCTCCCAGCATACAGCCTAGATTTCCCTGCCTAGTTCAGTTCTTCCCTGCCATAATCTCAAAGCAGTTCTTTATTCATTAACCAATAAAAGCAACACACGGACAGAAGGACCTCCCACACCAAAATATTACCCATTTTATATGGTCAGTCACTTTGGTTTCCTGGCTGTAGACCAATGCAATCCATAGTTGGCTCAGTTAATAAGGATGTACTTGTGAAAAGCCCTCTCCCTGGTTCTTATCCTCCTTGCTGACCCAGTACATTTACAAAGTGTAAATAGTTACAAATGTAGCAATATGATATTGTGAAATATTAGCCAATGTTTTTTTTTCCTTTCCCTAGACTTTTTTTTTTTTGGTCCTCCGATGATCCCCGTGCAGGTCACTGGATTCAAGGCCAACATCAGCATCTGTGATCCGGTCTAATCTCAAAACAGCATGTTAGAGGACAAAGTTTTGTTCTGAACTCAAGCCTGGCTCCAGTGCCAGTCAGGAAAGCTTCGCTGTGTCCCATTCCTCCCACAACATCATCGTATAGACACTCTCCAAGCTGGACAGCAACCTAAGAACAGGAAAATAAGATAAAATGTGATCAAACCTTATCTGAAGAAAGGAGGTAATATCTTACATACTTTTTTTTTCTTTTATCTAGGATCAGCTCCAGATTACCTTGATAAACATTGGGTAATCTGAGGATAGAAAGGATTTAGGCCAATTTTCATCGGAAATCAGGAGACCAAGTCCCAGGAAGAACTGCCATTTGAGACTTTTGTAGTCCCACCCAAACCGCCTGTGTGGAACACCACGGGGCAGAGGAGGCCCAGGAGGCCCAGACCCCCGCGGGCTCCAGAGAACAGGCAGACTTTTCATCTTTATTGTTACACTCGCGGTTTACTTCATGTGTTTCACTTGCCGGCACATATGCATGCCCAGCGTCCCAGGAGCTGAGAAGAGGACTTTGGGTCCCCGGGAACTGGAGTTCCAGATGATCGCGGGTTGCTGTACGGGTTCCGAGCATTGAACCTAGGGTCTTCTGCATCTGCTCTTTATCCCTGAGCCATCTCAGCAGCCCCTTATTTTGTTTTCTGAGAGAGGATCTCATATACTCCAGGCTGCCTTCAACTCTCTATGTAATGCATGAATGGCTTTAAACTCCCGATCCTCCTGCCTTCCCCTCAGAGCTCTGGGATGGCAGGTGTGAGCCTCCATGCCCAGGTTACTTGGTGGTGATGGTTAAACCTAGGGTTTCGTGCATGCCGGGTAAGAACTCTGTCATCTCGGCTACATCCCAGCCCGCAGCTTGATTGGTCTCCATGTCTGCGCTTCCTCAGAGGGGAGTGAAAATCGGCTGAAAAAGAAAAACAGCTACTTAAAGAGTTATAACAAGGAAATGGTAGGACGCAAAAGGTCGTGAGGGATTGTGATGAGCAGACAGACGAGGACACAGGTATTCAGCAAATGCCAGCTTGGAGAGATTATAGCTTGGGGGTCATACAGGATTATCTCTAAACCAGACTGCAGCCTAGACAACCTTCCTCAAGATGTGATGTCCTTAAATATCAAGGAAATGGAGTAGGCCGAGATGTTCATTGCCAGATAAATCTGTAAACAGAAAAAGGGTTTTATTTAACTGTAAAAAATGGAATTATGAAAATTCAGAAAATTGATGGATATGGATATTATTATATTAAGTGAGATGACTCAGGCTCAGAGAGAGAGAGAGAGAGAGAGAGAGAGAGAGAGAGAGAGAGAGAAGAAAAGAAAGGAGGAGAGAAGGTAAGAGGAAGGGGAGATTCTCAAGTGGCATTTTGGTATAATACTCCTGTCCTCTCTGTCACAGCAGGATCACCCCAAGTTCAAAGCTAGCCTGGGCTACATAAGGAGTTTCAGGTCAGCTTGCCCTGCAGTATGAGACCCTTTTTCAAAAAAAAAAAAAAGAAAGAAAGAAAGAAAAAAGAAAAGAAAATCTTGAAGCAACTGAAAAGACCTAGAATAAACCAATTTTGAACAGTAAGCAGCCTGAGACTTTTAGGACAGACATGAAGCTCAGCTATAGAAAGTGACCCCAGCTGCTCCTAGCATTCATTATAACCAATGTTATACTAACTAACTTATACTACCTTCTATTTTAAACAGGGTCTCCTGTAGTCCAGGCTGGCCTCAAAGTTACTGTGTAACTAAGGAGAGCCTTAACTCCTGATTCTTGTGCCTTCATTCCTTAGTGCTGATCTAAAATAAGATAATATCTTGAATACTTTTGTCTAGGGTTAGCTCCAGACGTCTGTAAGTCAGGGTCATGTGAGGATGGAAGAGATTTGGGATTATAAACATGCCCTACTGTGCCTGGTCTGTGTTACATGTTTGTCTTGGTTCCTGTGTCTCTTTCATTTAGATTAAACCCTGCATTTATTAAATGGGTGAATAAATATCCCCAATACTATTAATAATATTTGAGACTAATTGAATCCATGCTGTGTGTTAGGCTTAGTACCACCGTATTATATGCTGAGTACCTTACATGTTATTTTAACTATTTAATTTTCTTCTTCCTCTTCCTCTTCCTCCTTCTTCTTTTTGGCTTTTCGAGACAGGGTTTTTCCGTAGCTTTGAAGCCTGTCCTGGAACTATCTCTTGTAGACCATGCTGGCCTCGAACTCACAGAGATCCGCCTATCTCTGCCTCCCAAGTGCTGGGATTAAAGGCGAGCACCACCACCACCCGGCTCAGCTCTTTAATTTTCACAACTGTCATATTAGTTAGATTACCATTTCAATATATAGATGAATGTGATAGTTAATTGTTTCAACTTGACTGGATTTGGAATCACCCAAGGAGACATAGTTCTGGACGTCTCTAGGAGTGCTTTCTTAGAGGTTTGCCAGAGGGAAGAGACACCCTAGATGTGGGCGGTACTATCCGGGGAGCTGGAATCCTGGGTTTAAGAAGAATACACAGAAGAAGCAGGCTGAATACCAGCATGCATCTGTCTGCTTCCTGAGCACGAGCGCATTGTGATCAGCTGTTTCACATTCCTGTGAACACGGGTAGAGCCTCTCGCACCCGCGCCCACACACTCCTCCCGCTGTGATTGCTGACGTCACTTGTAAACTGGACAGCCTCTAGGATCACTTAGAAAGCAAACGGCTGGGTACGCCTAGGCGGAAGTTTCTAGATTAGGTTAAACGAGGTGGGAAGATCCACTGTAGTAACTGTAGCTGGCATCACGCCACGAGCTACGAGCCTGGATGTAATAAAAAGGAGAAAGCAAGCTGAGCTCCAGCTTTAATCTCTATTGCTTTGTGGGTGCGGATACAAGGTACCCACCAGCCTCACATTGCTGCTCCCAGGGCTTGCCCATTACCATAGACTGAATCCACCAACTATGAGCCAAAACAGACCCCTCCCCAAGTCTTCTGTTTGTTTTCTCAGGCGTTTTGTCATAGTAACATAGTAACGAGTAAAGGAACAAAGTCAATGAGAGAACTGAGGCCCAGACTAGTCAGTTTCTTAATTGGGTCTGAAAAACACAGAAGGTAGGAAGCAGAGCCTCTCCAGGGCCTCCTCCAAAGTGGCATTTAGGGGCTGTTTCAGAGGTGCAAATAAAGACCTCTTGGGACATGCATGGGAAAGGCAAGGGATGCGGGTTAACAAGGATCTCAGAAGGCTGTAGAAATTTGCATCCACATTAAAGAGAACCAAATATTTAAAAAGGAACGAATGGAAGGTTCCCAAGAAGTGAGTGGTAGACAACATATGGCAGTGTGCTTACTTACAAGGCTTATGTCAACTTTTATGTCTTAGAAGAAGTATGTTGACTACACATTGAGAACATAAGGAACAACTCAGAAACCTGGGGTGAGGCTAACCTGGGTTGATTAGAACCGTAACATCAACACAGCCAGTTAGAAGGAAGGGATAGAAAACACAGAAAGATACCAGGTTGCCATGTTCATGTTGCTCCCGGGCTGTGGAAGTGCTTTCTAAAGGGCGTGGGTCCGTGGAGCTTGGGCCTTCACTGAGGAATAAACCAGTGGCTGTTGGCGTTGTTTGGCTGACACGTGACACTGGGAGAGGTGTCTGTATAGACAAGCAGATTTAGAGATTGCGTCAGATAGTAACCAAAGCCACAAAAAAACTGATCGGAGTGCTTGGAAGAAAACACGCAAAAATGACAAGTATTTTGAGCTCAAGGTAGAAAAACAGATAGGACGGCCTCTGTGTCTGCAAAGCCAAAAGCACTAGTACTGTTCAGACATAAAATGCTGGTGCTAACTTACCATTCTATGGCTTCTGCCTCCTGTCTGCTGGGATTATAGGTGGGGGCACCATGCTTGGCTAGATTTTTAAGTAAGAAGTAGTTATTGAGCAAAACTGAGAGGTAACCAAAGGAAGGCAAGCTACAAACACATGCTGACTGTGAGAACAGACACACTGCCCAGCTGGCACTCCCCTCTCACCTTTAATGGCTCGAATTCCAGGAGAGCAACGAAGTTGTCTAGTACTGAGTGATGCCACCTCGGGGGAAGTGACAGAAAAGAAGAGCCGTAAGAATCTGTACATACCTGGATGGACTATTCTGCAAGAAGTGCAGTTAAAGCCACAAGGTCTGTTTAAAGATGAAGTTGAATTGGACACTTAACTGCCAGCAATTTAATACCTGTGGCTTCCAAAGGATGATCCTAACGAGCAGTCAAACATGGGGCTTTACTTCTAAAAACCAAAGCTGACTTTTTGTAAAGGATATAAGGACAAGTTAGCCTGAGATAAGAATTCAATAAAGGCCTGCCAGGTGCATCCACCCGTAAGGCAGACATACATGCAGACAAGAGGAAACATGGATGAATCATGGGTGCTCTACACAGCACTGTATTCCTCTATGGCTCACAATGGTGCCTGCAGATGTGTGCCTTTCAGCCACTGTTACTCAGGGAAAAAGGTTGGAATAAAGCATCAACGGAGAGATAAAATACATATGGCAGGTGTGGCCTTTCATTGACATCATTTCTGCTTTAGCCAATCAGCTGTAAACTGATTTGCATATTACAAACACTGTTGGAACGGAAGTACCTTAATCCAACTTTCTTATCCCGACCCTCTAGGAGATCCTGACTTACTGAGTATTCTGTACCTAATCTCCCACAGTGCACCAGGGTTGCCTCTGTTCCCACACACAGGTTTCTTCGAAACTTCCACCTCATTCAAGCTCTGTATCACCCTTATTTGTTGCTCTGAATCTTAGCCCTTAAAGGTATATATAAAGGAGAATTATTTTCTTTCTTTCCTCTTTCTTTTGAGACAGGGTTTCTCTGTGTAGCCCTGTATGTCCTGGAACTCACTGTAGACCAGGTTGGCATTGAACTCAGAGATCTGCCTGCCTCTGCCTCTGCCTCCTGAGTGCTGGGGTTAAAGGCCTGCACTACTGCCACCCAGCTTGAAAAATTATCTTCTAGGAATCAATTTAATCTATTTTCAAAAACAGTTATATTTTATATATATGAGTATTTTATCTCTCTCTCTCTCTCTCTCTCTCTCTGTGTGTGTGTGTGTGTGTGTGTGTGTGTGTGTATCACATATCTACAGGGTCCTCAGATTTCCCTCAGAAGAGGACATCAGATTCCCTGGAACTAGAGTTAGAGATGGCTGTGAGCCACTATTTGGGTGCCAGGAGCCACCTCTGGTCCTCTGAAAGACAGCCAGTGCTCTTAACCTCCTCTCAACTTGTCATGACATGCCTCTACTTTACCAAATTGACAAGAAACTTACCTGTTATTCCTAAAGCTTCCCTAGGGTTCCCTGGGAGCTATATCTAGGTGTGTGATACAAATGGTACACACAGTTTGGGGCCTTTGGTGTGTCCTGACTGGCCTCTGCAGAAAGGATAGCCCTCTTCCTATGACGTGGGATGTCCTTCTGTAAATGTGTTGTTTTTATTGGTTGACGAATAAAGCTATGTCAGCCAATGGCTTAGCAGAGTAAAGCCGGGCAGGAAATCCAAACAGAGATAGAGGAAGACAGGAGACAGAGTCAAGAAGGTGCCTGGTAGCCCCCGAAAGAGAACGACCCCATAACATTACCAGTAAGCCACAGCTTCATGACAATACATAGATGAATAGAAATGGGTTAATTTAAGATGTAAGAGCTATATAGGAATATGCCTGAACCATGGACCATATAATGTAATTAATATAGTTTCTGTGTGATTATTTGGGTCTGGTCACCCGGGAAACAAAAGCACAGACTCTGTTCACATCCCTAACATGCCCCGTTCAGATTTCCATGCTACTTGCTGATTTTGTCTGCTATACGATGCACAGCAGTCGTTTGTTCTGATTAGATTGGGTTTTATTGCTCACATTCCCATCAGTTCTGGCAACGACCCGTCATCCCCTGGGGGCGTTACCACTATGCAGTGTGGCATTCTGCTGTTCCTCTGTTGTGGGTGGCAGCTCTTCCTAACATCTGGGATGTAGATGTTACTTCTTGATCCTCAGAGATACCTGACTCCTGCCTTTATGCACTTCTCTCTCTCTCTCTCTCTCTCTCTCTCTCTCTCTCTCTCTCTCTCT